ATAAGGCTTTCAAATAAGTCATGGCTGTACGGCAGTGAAGCATTGGTGTTGAGCACTGATGTCATGCTGTCGTTGATGATGATGATGATGACACATGGTCATCCATCTTCTGTTCCACTGCTTGATGCCGTAGATCACGTGGAGATCCAGTCGTTCAAGGCTAGTCCTAAGTGTGTAGAGCCAGGTTTTCAGTTGTCTTATAGTGTGGCAGCGCGATTTTTTAGAGGACGACAGTGACGGGTAGAACTTAAACAGTCCGGAGCCTGGTATGTGCCGCTCGATTAATCCAAGAAGACGTAGAGTATTATTAGTCTGATACTGTTGTTGTATGTTCTGTGGTTCCGAATCACTCTCAGTATTTGCTGTAAGCGCCACTGGTAGGATGTTCCTAGTCTGTTTAGCTAAGTCTGGTTTCAGTCGTGTGTTGATATGGGTCTAACGGATCTTGATATGGACGAGAGTGTTGGTGGCTGATGTTGCCCAGTTGCAGGTTGAATTGTTTGCTGGGCTGGTTTTATACCAACACAATAATAATATAATATAATAATAATATAATAACAATAATAATAATATAATATAACATATAATAATAACAGATAATATAATCGTTCAGCTTCTGCACCCTTTCGGTGCCTATCTGATATGCTACCTGAAGGAGGCTCGGAGGCTGAGGTACTACTACCCAATCCTAATAATAATAACACCATAGATAATCGTTCAGCTTCTGCACCCTTTCGGTGCCTATCTGATATGCTACCTGAAGGAGGCTCGGAGGCTGAGGTACTACCAGACTGCCCAATCCTAGACGAGCAGTCGAGGTGTTGAGGTTCGGTTCGAACCACGGACCTTCCGGTCAATAGGCTGGCACCATAACCACTGAGCTATCTCGAGCTCAAACGCTGCTGCCGTGACTGCACTGATGACGTCATCTCGATTAGTTATGAAATGTCTCCAAGGGAATATCGAGATCAGGAAATAATCACAAGAAATGGAGGCATGTACGATATTTAAAAAACCGCGTGACTTCGTCTTTACATATGCATCTGTAGTCCCCCCCAACAGCAACCTACTCTTCGATTTAACAGTAGCTATAACACATTGGAAAGAATAGTAATACTTATTTGATTATCGTTTGCACTAGAGTTGCACGTGGATTTTCGATACGTTACGTGAAGCATCTCAAAACTACGTCTAGCACGACAGACGATGACATGCTTCACACAGTGTGGGACAACTGGGTCTATATTTTTCCTTGTTTCACTCATCCATTTATATTCCGCTCTGGGAGAAACATGATTAGTTCAGTCTTACGTATGTGGATGGTCTCAAACGACGGAACGAAACAGAAGTGACTGAGTACACATTTTATGATCCATAGTTCCCTTAGCTCGACACAACTGTGGTACTATGTCTCCCTTGCAGATTGACCTAAGAAGGCCTGAGCTGTTTTTTTACTCAGCCCATATGTAGACAACTGGTTCGGTGCTTCATTGTTGCGCAGAAGATTCGTATATGATGGTGCTGGGGGTGTAGGGTGATGTACAGGTAATAGAAAGTGTTATCAGAGCTTCCGTAATAGGCCCAACTGCGATATCCTGTGTACCATCAACGCCCTGAATTGCTATCATCATTAACGCAGACCAATAAGGATCGAATTGCAGCTAAGGATTATCACTTTGAACGAGTAGTAAGACCTCTTAGAGTGTCATCTGAAGATTACGGGTTCGCTTGAAGAAACGTCAGTAAATGAGGACCTTACATCAGAAGAACGGATGGTGACACCTGATGTTTTATCAACTTCTGAAGTTGATGGAAGTGTGTAGTGTTTGGTAAGCAGCGTCCCCAACCGGTTCAAGACGGTCTACTAACAATTTCTCCAAATGATTACTCAATAGGTCAGTTGCGACGAGATTAATGAGTACAGTAAACTTGTGAATCTTTGATAAGCCAAATGGGCAAGACGTGCAACCGACAAATGGTTGTAGGTAGTTGTCTCAATTGTAGATTTTTTGTCTATATCACTCTTTTGAACAGTTTTCTCCTGTCCTGAAGCGATTCTTCGGAATGCAAAACTGGAGAAGAATGGGACTCGTTTAGTGCGCTTATTAGAGCTCACCGGTAGTGGCCGTGCCGGTATATGAACCATGGAATATGACGTGTATTTTACCTCTTATCTACCTCAGTACAGTGGATGCACTCGAATTCTCACTTTGGGACAGGTGGACGTGTTCAAGTCTGGCCGATATTATCCGTTTGCCCAACGAATTGTCAAGCGTAGATGCTGAGTTTAGACTTCTCATTTCCCATTGCTAACGAACGTAAACTATGTGCTGCTTTCATAACGGAAGCGAGTTTGTTTTCCTCCTTGATATCCTATGCAACCGATTCCGTATTGAGTCCCAGCGCTTCATTCGTTTTGGGTCATTTTTTACAGAAAAATCAGACAAATAGTCATCAGCACTGCCAACATACTTTCGCCATCTGAGTTTCCCTCTATGTGGTCACCCTAGCGGTGTAGATACTACTCTGGACTGCGAAACAAATTAGCATCGTTTATTTCGCCTCACTGGCTGGACAGTAAGCGGTGTTTCCGGATGGGCAGACTGATCGCCATAGCGATCCGTATATGCGAGGTTTGTGTACCGCAGTGTATGCGTCTATGGTTGTCGTCCATTTATGCGCGGATAAGCAATCATCTGGACATATCGAATGTTGGAAGACTTGTCCACATTAAAGTTGTAAACCCCTTGGATCAGCTTAATTTGACACGGAGATTCATTCAGACTGATACCGGAACATTTTGATTTTTTCGATACACTTTTCGTTATTGGTAATTTTACCGTTTGCTCTACATCCGTAGGTCCTACGAATCGATCAACTTCCCAAAGTTTCAATCTATGCTCCGGATTGATTCTATCCCCGTGATAATTGAATACAGCTGATCCCCAAATTTACTCATCACAGCCGAATTATGTGGTACTATGCATCTTCTCATAGTGCTTCAGGTTCCATGACATTTCTGTGTAATATTATCTTGTTTTTGACAGATACCTCTCTCACACTAGGAGACTTACTCATTGACCTAGCCCTTGAAGCTTATCATCACTGCTAATTTCAAGTGGTATCACTTCTATATCAAGCACATCGGGTGTACAGCTGAGCCGTTTAACGCGTAACATTGATCATTTTCCTCCACATTTCCCAACTCTGTCCTGTTCTCGACTGTTTCCTTTTTTGTACAGGCTTCGGTTTTATCGAAGCAGTGCTATCGGTTTCAATTTATTATATCATCCTCTTTGTTCATCTCTACTCCTCATCGATGCAGCATAATACGCGATTCCCTCTCACCTCCAAGTTTTCTCCTGTCCATCTAGTCCTCCATCTTTAGGCACTGCCGTTTATTGTGAAAAGAACAAAACCCGTCCACTTTGCTTCAATGATTTCATCCTGTTTACTACCCACTGGTTCCTTTCAACGCTTGTTTAACTGCGCTCAGTCATACAAACGTTAACGCCTAGTTGTCGAGTATGCTTTTTTCGAGCTCCTACGATTGAGGGGCTTCTAGTTTGTTTCGAATACAAACCAACATTGCTCAAATTCTCCGAACTTGTTTTCCAGTCCATTGTTAGGGGGTTCTTTCATTTTTTTGCGCAAGGAGAACGGGGGCGAACTTGACAGTTGCTGGTGTCCACGCACTATGATGATGGATCCCTCCAGCCGTTCAGCTAGGGATATCTGATGGTTAGTTGTCCAACCTGAACTCGGACAAGTCAGTACCGCTGTAGAGGTCGCGTACGTTTATTACTGCCCATACGTGTGTGATAACCCGACCTAGCTCTCGATCGCGATTCCCTTGTCTCAAAGGCCAACACAGACCGGAGAGCACGAGGTCGTGTATGGGACCGAACAGGAGCAACGCGCGGCGAGTTGTGTAGAGACAACAACAGTATGTAAATACAATGCGATACAACGGTGTACCGAACAGATTAGTGGAACTAGTGCATGAGTGTGCAGAAAGCAAACAAATGCCGAGAAATGTAGACTAGCAGAACAGTGTTGAATATGGTGTTGAGTCCAGAGGTTCGTCATTTTTAAGCTGGGTACACTGCCTTTCATCCACATGCACAGTTCATATCATGTTATCTGGTGTCGAGTGAGAGCTTCTCATGGAGACCCAGGCGGGTTGTAATACTTTTATTTCTGAGCGAATTACCCGTTTTGCCGCAAAGTTTAAAGCCACACTGATTATGATATAGACTTGTACATCACCGTGATTTGCGTACATATCTGATTCCACGGTTGGAATAACTACAATCGAGAAGTCTTATTCTAATTGGTCCTCGCACAATACTTCCTTGAACAGAATTCCGGCTTCGTGATTATCAACTGATTTCTTCATCTTGGCGGGTGGCACTACCATTAAGGTGGGAGGTTATCGATTCGACCAACATTTGGAAGTTCCTTTGTTATAGCCGAAGCTAAATTTCCCTCCGAACCAGGCTAGTGGAAGTATTTCAATCCGGTAAAATATCTGCGAACATAAAGTGTGTGACGTAAATAAAATGACTCATGAATTAGTTTGGAGGGAACTGGGAACGTACCTATTATTGCACATCAGTGAAAAGGGTGCCACATTCTCACTATTATTTTATTGGAGACTGTTAATTTGAGCTTGGTGGAATCTCCATTGACTGAGGTGCCTCGTTTAATAATCGAGACTTCACAACCCAAATGCGGCCAGTCAAATCTCAAATTGTGCGGCATTTTACAATTGTTTTATCCTTGTTGTTAGTCATTAGGAGTGGTACCCTGTGATTGCCTAGGGCAACGTGAATTCCTGGTTGCCGGTTTAACACCACTGTCTGGCCACATTAGGGTGTTCTGCGGAGACTGGAATTTAGAATATAGCACCACTACATTCAAGTCGCACAGCTCAAATTTCCCGGTGCTGCTTGATTCCTCTCTCTTGCGGCTCGCGGTTTTTCGTCCTTTCTAGTTAGGCTATTCAGAGGTCGTTGATAACAAGATCTCCGAGTTAAGTTCGAGAGGTTTTCCTGTACACTGAGTCAATATATGCCGAAAGGCCTCGAAGGACTGTACTTCAGCGTGGTGCAAAGGATGAGAGATCTTTCAACCTTTGCGGGACTCATCATCAGCGATCCTCTAGGATGTTTCGAACCTTACGGTTAGCTGCTAACACTAAGACTTACGAGTTAGCAGACGGATTCGCTCGGAAATACCAATCTGGACCAAACTGTTTTCAACAAACCAGTTTTGATTTCGTCCAGAAACCGCATAAAAACCATCCTGTTCAATTTTTTTCTATAGTGTTACTGGTATCCATCTACAAATGTTTGAGCTATAAGTCTTTTCGATGTTAGCTGTTACAACTTCAACGGAAAACAGGAATCCCATGTTTCCAGACTGCTAAGTTGCACACAAGAGCGCAATATGTATGTTGGATGTGTGTACATTAGTGTGTTAATTACGTTTCACTGTATGTAAAATGGATCACGTGTCCTAGGTGATTGGCATAACGACCTTGATAAGATATATTATTGTAACTGATGGAAACTCTTAGACAGCTTACTACCACCTACGACCTTTGTGAGGCCCAGAGAGTGGGCATTGGTCTCTCTGTGAACAACTAAATTGCACAAATGTGGGATCAATACGCTTGAACGGTATCAATGTGAGAGACAAAAACCTTCCGTTAATAGTGTTCTGCAGGAAGCGTTGGAGTGAAAAATATTTCGCGGTTTACTCAAGGCGATACTAACGACACAGAATGACTTTTCTGGGGGGAGATGAAAGTTGGAAGCCTTCTATCTTGAATAACGGCAGCCAAAATGCGAACACAAATGACATCAGCAAAAGGAACGACCTAACGGAGACTAGACTGGGCTCATTAGAGAAACAACTAGAACATATCAAAGAGCTGTTACAACCACGTGAGTCTGGGCCAGTGGGGGGAGTGGAGCATGTTGAATTAACAAAGAACTCCATACCTCTGCTACAAACCGATGTAGTAACTTCAAAAAAGACCATTGAATCCAAAACTCTGTCGCTCAATAATAAACGGAAAGCATCATCGGGACTTAGTGTTATTTGCACTAACGTCACAGAACCTTGCGATACGTTATTACAAACGAGACACAAACGCGAACTGGAGGAGTGGTTCAAACTGCGCTAAAATGAAGTTAAAACCTATCGAACCAGTTTCCCTAACACGATTAAGTCGACCACCGAATTCGCCACATAACGGTAAGCCAAGACTTCTCAGAGTTACCGTTAATACTGAGAAATACCTGGAGAGCATATTGTTATCAGCATTCCAACTTAGGGGGGGAAGCTGACAATGGCGAAAGGATTTTCGCTGATATACCGTGGTCGGAAAGATCGCGCAAAAATACACCTCAACCTACAAACGCAACCAACAAACATACAAATGACCGCAGTTTGATCATCTTGGGTGTTCCGGAGCCCAACGAAACGTCAGATCAAATAGCGCAAAACACACACGACTACATGCAGTGGCAATTTCTATGCAGTACACTTGAAATTGAAAACGTGGCCGTGGTTGATACTTATCGGATTCCGAAATCACCAAAGTATATGGGTACCGTCCCGAGGCCCCTGAAACTCACACTACTTCGTGGTGATATGCTAAACTTAATCCAAACACAATGGCACCGTCACAGAAACTTACTCCCTAGGGAGTTAAGGATAAGCACATCCATGCGGAACAATATACCCACAGAGGAGACCAAGGTTAATGAAGATGAAGCCGTAGGAGTTTGTAAACCAGGTGAAACTTCAAAAAACGACCAGCTGCCGACTCTGCCAGGGTCGGCACAATTATAACCGCCCAACCTGCACATTATCTTGCGTACTGCCCAACACTGCTGTCAATAAACACCATTAAATGTTTATACACGAACGCGCAATGCTTGACTAACAAGATTCCAGAATTATCTGAATTGTGTGAAAAGCATTTGCCAAACTTGATTGCTATCAGCGAGACTTGGTTCCAGCCACACTTATCGGATAGTGAACTTGCCATCCCTGGAATGACGCTTCTTCGTCGGGATCGCATTTCTCGGGGAGGTGGTGTAGCTATTTACCATAGCAGGCAACTATTGTGCAAAGAGCTAACTGATGAAGATTTGATACTATCGGATACCTTGTGGTGCTCGTTAAAGACGGTAGCAGGTAACGACTGTGTTGTTGGTGTGATCTATCGACCACCTTCAGCGGAGGAACTGCACAATTACACCATAATGGAGAAGCTACGCCTCGTGGCTTCCCGGTATAAAAGTAAGATACTAATTATGGGTGATTTCAATCTCCCAAACTTGCTACGGACTCAACAACATCCGATAAATTCCCTCGATTGTGCCTTCCAGGAGACGTTACATGATCTTGACTTTCACAATCATATATCATGCAACACGCGGTATAGAGGATCAGATATACCTTCCATTCTGGACCTCATCATAACAAGCGAAGAGAACGTTGTGGAAAACATCGCATATGAAAGTCCATTGGGATCGAGTGATCACGTCGTTCTCATTTTTGATTATGTTTGTTCGGCGGTGAGACCTAATGATGAGCTTAAAATGATCAGGAAAGTGAACACGAAAGCACTGTCGAATACCCTGAGTCATTGTACGGACTGGTATTCAGAAGGTCCAGACGTCCACCAGCAATGGTCTAGCTTCATGGGGAACTTGGTCAATAAAATACGTTTGCATTCCCACTTCGTTCCAAAGAATACTCAGATGGGATTCGATTTTAAGTTACGAAGCAGAACCCGAAAATGGATTCTGGAGCGAAATGCAGCCTGGGCTGAATACCGACGTCACCGAACAACAACAACATGGGAAAAATATCGGTTACTAAGAAATAAAGTCAACACGCTGGTCGTGAACGACAAAAAGGATTACCAGCTAATGCTTTTAGAGAAAATGGAAAAAAATCCGAAGCTTCTCTATTGGATCATTAATAATAAGGCGTCTGTGAAACCGGGTATTTCACCTCTGCATACCCCTAATGGACTGACGGCCACTGCGTCAGCTGCAGCTGAAGAACTGGCGGAGTTCTATTCCACTGTTTACTGTCAGAAGGAATATATAAGCCGGATGTCGTTTATGTCTCCCTCACCGCCCACCTCCCTACATGAAGTAATTGTGACTCCAGAATGTGTACTCCGAACGTTACTTGAACTAAATCACAGAAAATCTCCCGGTGCCGATCAGATAACACCATTTATCCTCAAGCAGTGTGCTCATTCCCTATGCACACCTCTCGCTGAGTTATTCAATTCGTCCCTAAATAACGGTGTGGTTCCCACCGACTGGAAGAGGGGCGTTATCACTCCCATATATAAAGGAGGTAATCGTTCGGTCGTGTCAAATTACCGGCCGGTGACTCTGTTGCCGGTGATCTCCAAAGTACTTGAGCGACTGGTGGCAAACAAAATCATTAAACACTTAGAGGAAAACGGATTGCTTTCGGCTGCCCAGCATGGTTTCAGAAAAAACAGATCCTGTCTGTCCAATCTCCTCATTACCTTAGACGACTGGACGCAAG